ATTTCTGAGAGCAAATCAGCAAATCCTGGAATCAGATAACTGAGAATTGTATACTTGATGGTAGGAGAAACTCTAACATGCATTTGTTTTGTGAAGAGTAAATTTACAAAATTACTACTCAGTTGAATAGTGAATATAAAAATAAAAGAACATGACAAGGCTTTAGAGACTACTCTCTCACAGCACACTGTGATGAATCGTTTAATCAGCCATCTGAAATATTGGACAAATAAACAAAAGGAAGGAACAGGAAGGAGCCTCCAGCACTGTTACAAACTAGATAAATATGGGATGTTGGACTTAGAAGATCCATTTGACCCTACACTCCCCCTAAATGTTTGAGTGATCGGATGACTAGAAAGGTGCTGTATTAGGTATAGTCCATTTATCATTTACCATGTGAGGTCCTGTTATGTTATCCTGCACCTAGAGTGCCAGTTTTGTACTACGAAACAGTCACACTCCTGACCAACCCACAACATGAGCACACACAGTCAGTCCCTTTCTGCTAGGTCCCGTGCATCCAGCCAGACCAGCTGACCAGACTCCACCTCTAACAATACTTTGTGTTTTTGTCTGTCTACCAAACGACCTGTCACTTTAATAGCTGGCTATAATGGCTAAAGCTATAAAATGTCTCACCTACCAGTTAGAACTTTTTAAAAGATAAGCTAATAATGCACATAAACCAGCCTCTGTGCTTAACTCAAACTGTTAACTCATAGTGCTCCAGAACTACCATTTCCCATTACTCAACACCAGACACCCACCAAACATCCTGTTAGGAAATATCATGCTAGCTAGCTGACTCTCATTTGTGGTCTGATAAACATGGCATTTATCAGGCTTTTGTCAGACAGAAGTAGGCGTGGTTCTATTGCAACCACCTAATAGTCGACTAATTGATGAGAAGAGTCTTAGTCGACCAACTTCTTATTGGTCAGTTAGTCCATTCCATTTGGGAGCTGCGCCTTGTCGTTAGGGTGATGACAGAGGTGTTTGTGAAGTGAAGTGACGTGATTGTTGCAACAATGTCGGCCCAACCGACAACCGGGGCCTGTACTATGAAGCAAGTTCATCATACCCAGGGTATGTTTTCGTTATCTGGCTTCACTAACTCTAACAATTGCGATCAGGCTACGCAGTCACACAACGCTGTTGATCAACTCAGAATGTGACGGTTTCCCAATTAAGCCAGGAGTGCGTTCACATAAAAGAGCTGGTCTTTTCAGCAGATGACCAAACGCAAACATGGTCTACTGGTGTATTTTACAAAACAAGAAAACTATAATCCACAACAAGTACAAGGCTTTAGTATAAAGTAATAAGTTTATAAAAGTAGCCTATAAATGAGTCTGTGTGGTCTTCTGCGAATGGTGACGGCATTTTCCAAAAGAGCTGATAGGTCAGTAGGCGGTGTGTTTATAGAGTTGATCTCTTATCTGTTGTAGGACAACCATTGCAGGACTGAAAACCCAGGGTTAAACCTGAAGTTACCTCGTGAACATCAAATCCTGCTTCTCCAGGCCCCTGGAGAATGTCTGTTTACACTACTAGCACAGGAGCTTTGCTTCACAGCTTGGACCCATAATAATTAAGTTGTAAATGCTCCGTACTTGTATAGCGCCTTTCTAGTCTTTTCGACCACTCAAAGCGCTTTTACACTACATCCACCAGTCACACACACAAGTGCTCAAACGGAAACTAACATTCACACTCACTCATACACTGGCGGAACAACCAGGGGCAAATCGGGGTTCAGTATCTTGCCCAAGGACACTTCGACACGCAACCAGGGAGAGCCAAGGATTGAACCGCCGACCTTCCGATTAACGGCTAACCTGCTCTACCTCCTGAGCCACAGCCGCCCCAAGTTAATATCCTAAACGTGCAACAGCCAGTCAATCAATGGCTTCTACAAATGACTACTCGTAGCCTAGCCTAGATGGGGGCAGCGCTGAGTTCACAGCGTGAGGTGCCTGCCTCCTCCACCTGCCTGGGGTCTGCAGCCCAGGCTTAGCATGGAGGCTTGGGAGTGTCCAGCATGTCAGCCTGAGGATTTGCACTTGGAAAGTTGTGTTTGTTGTCAGAATGTCACTTGAGCTCACAAGGAGACTGTAATGGTCATTCTACCTTACAATACAAACGTGTTAGGACAAACAACATACTTAATATTTTTCTATTCTCAAAGTAGTGGTCCAAAAAAGTTAACTTTGTTCTGTTGGTGGCACATCAGGAAAGGCACTGGGATCAAGAAAATGAAGAAGGATTATCCCAAAGTAAGCATGAAAGATGATCAAATATATTGTTTTAAAATGTGATATTTTGTCCAGAGAGTCCTCTCTAGAGTATGAAAGTGTTCTGTAGATTTCATAAATTTAAAATTTTGTTATATACAATTGGAAATTTTGGCCTGATAGTTGGGTAAGAGGAAAGTTATGACCATGACCATGATTATCCAAAATAAATTTATGAACATACAGCCACCAATTTTCAAGAACACATTTTGTCTTATACCATATTTTGAATTGCTGTTAGAAAACAACAGTGTTTTAACGTGTTTACACACAAGAACCTGCTGCCAGATCGCCACAAGACAAGCACCCCTTAAATTACTGTAACTAAGTAACTTTTTCAGTATTTCGACAGTAGCCTTGGCGAGATATCGTGCTCAGGACCAAAATGTTGGCTAGACAGATGGACTGACAAACTGAACAAATGGCCATACTTGGCTCCACCACGGCAGGACTAACCTGAATTAACTCCAGGCCCCAGGACACAACCATGGTATTAAAAGAAATACGCAAGTCCCTTGTGAAGTAGCTCTGATAGGATGGGAAGGATGGAGATCAAGCCCAGCTGGCATTGGGCAAGAGGCGGAGTACGCCCCATCCAATCCAAATTTCTTTATAAAGCACATTTAAAAACGACAAAGCACGCTGAACATGGTGAAAATGGTAAACACTCCCTGCTTATCAGTACGTTTACATTGTCATTGTGAAGATGCTAGCACGGTGACATTAGCAGTAAGCAATACACTGCTTTCTAGAAATGAAAAACAATGAGTCTGCAGCATAAACAAAAAAGCAATGATGACCCTCTTTGCATTAGTAAACACTGTAAACATGTATGTTATTTAATTGGGATTTTAAGTTAATGAAACCCTTGAATGAAAGGGTCAAAGTTTAAATAAGTAAGTAAAATAAATAATCTATCGGCAGTACATTGGACAACACTATTTTTATGCGGCTGGTTTTAAAAACCTTTCATAGCAGGTCACTACCAACCAATCAATCAGCCCTTATTGACATGGCCGTTCTGTAAATTGGAGACAGTGGAGGTCATGTGCGGAGTCCTCACAGCCAGCAACAGCATCTGCTGCGCTGCTGTCAGACACTGCAGGCTCTGACTGAAGTGACAAATGACTATGCTGACAAGGTCCTGCTAGGGTCCTCGAGGATCAGCGGGGTTGAAAGCATCGTGTGCACGCGTGTGGGAGTGAGTATGGTAGAGGGAGACTAAGAGAGAAATACACGGGCAAATGCCATTTGCTGTTCATTTATCTTTGTTTAACGCTCTTTGTGTGCAGGTGGTAAAAAGATGAGCCATAAACGCATACCTTATTGAACTCTACTTTGTAACCAGCTGCTGCGTTTGCCTGGTGAAGGTCCAACTTTTATTTAGCTCCAGAAAGTCAACTGGGCAATTTCTGTGCTTCATTTCACAGTTACACTATGGAGGACAAAAAATTACTTAGTCATCAATAAATACAAAAATATTAGCAAGCCCATTTATTGTCGATTAATGGATATCTTGATGTACATAATACATAATATATATATATATATATATATGTACACATGATCAAATATAAAGAAATATAGAATTAAATCCAAATCTGGAAATAAATAAATGAATGTTGTCGATTCATTTCTATATTTTTATACATTTATGTGCTTTTATTTATAGATTTATACTTTATATCTGTATTTCATTTCTCTGTTTCTGTATTTCTGTGTCAGTATGGTCATAGAAGTGTGATTGATTTGGCTCCATTACTTGTCCCTGGTTTGGCCAGCTGACCTATCCTGCTTTAGTGAGGCTGGGACCACCTGCTACCTACCTGTAATGATCTGTTGAAAATAAGGCATTTTTTGTCTTCCATAATTCTCACATGGGAGCTGCCGAGTACAGCTGGATATATGAGCTGCTGAGTGCCTTGCTCAAGGGCACATTGATGGTCGTTTATAAAACAGCAGAGCACATCACTCATTCACTTTCCCCTGCCGCATTTTCCCAGCCAGTTGAGCAGTCATTCACAAACAGAAGTACACAGCAATACAAAAACAGACAATATCACTTTTAATATTTTCTGCCAAGCAGCGCTTGCTGTGTGTGTAGTGTGTAAAGTGTGTAACAGGCTTTTTCCTGACAGCCACAGCTTTGTTCCCAGAGCTTGTCACTGAGCAGCCAGCCATACTGATGAAAGCCTAAAACAGATAACGCCACAAAGGGAGGCTTCAACTTCACAGCCTGCTTGGCCTTAACTTTCCCCGGGCTTGGATAAGGGAGAACCCTGTCATTTACAACAATGCTACAGTACAGCAGGCTCGCTTGTCGCCTGACTTGAATCTATGCAGATAAGGAACTCTGAAAGAAGAAGAAAGCCCCCTACAACCCACACAGCAAGAGGCACGAGCTGCAGGGGTCTGCGTTTAGGAGATTAGCTCGAGTTGTGCCGCAGTTTGAATCCACTTAGTTTCAAATTGGAGGGGGGCTGTGTTTTCTCTTTGACAGCTGAACCTGATCCTGTTGTTATCGCAAAGAAACTGCACTTGGTTTAGAAGTAACGACATCGCCTATGGCAATTGCTCCGGCTCTCAGTTCTATTTCATAGTGGAAACAACTACACTCCCAGGCCCTGTGCACAGAGCAAACACACATTCGCTTGGTAATAACACAAAACCATGTATCCCCCTGCCTGTTAGCTCCATACTCACTTGTTTTGTTGCACTTGACTTTGGAGAGAAGTTTGTGCGCCAGCAGAAGATCTCCACTCTTCACTGCAACCAGCAGATCCTGTTCTTTCCCCATGATTACAGACCTAACCACAGACACACAAACTGCTCGCAGTCTGCAGCCAAGGTTGCTTTTTTTTGTCTTTTCAATGCTCCTTTAGGCGGACGGTTTCAGCAAACATTTGTCAGCAAGTGATCAGGAAGCGCCGAATCCCAGCCATGAAATGACTTTGTGGATAGAAGGCTTAGCAGAATCTAGAGTGAAGGAGCCTCAGGTAAACCGGTCCAGGACTCTTTTTTCTCTTGTTGTTGAGGTTTGGGTCCATTATCACTGCTGGCTGCTCAGCTGTTTGACGGTGATCTTGGATCTGGAGTTACAGCAGGACTGGTAGAGGTTTAGTTGCCTGCAGGGCTGAGTGTATGTTCATAATCTGTCTCCGTCAGCCCGGAGGAAGCAGCAGCCCAACCTGCCATTACACTGCAACGGGAAAGCTAAAAAAGAAGAAACAGAGAGCAATCACTATGATGATTTAAAAATACATTCACTACCATAACTATGACTCTGCCATTTTTTCACCATAAGACTGTCGGGCTGCGTATCAAACCTCAGTACTTCTTTCTTACTGATAGAAATGTGCCTGTAGCACACAGCGTCAAAAACTGGCAGTGAACGCTTCTTTGCTTACTCACTGATCACATATGTTTACATTTTAATTTAATTTCAATTTTAAGAAGTTTAAATCCCAATTTTAAATTTTGTATTGCTGCTTGTGTTATTTTTTTTATTGCCGATCTAAACAAAAAAATATAAACTCTTTCACAGCAGACATTTTGACATGTCATAGTCATAGGTGTTACTAATATTAATGATCTGTTCTATTCAAGTGTCCCAGTAAGTCATGACAGTGTGACAGTGAGCCAGCATGCACAATACAAGGAGCGGGAAACTAAAGCAGCTAAATGAAATGATTTACATGTGAGCTTTTCCTCCTGTAACAGGTCAAAATACCCAATTTTAAAAAGTCCTTTAGAACCTGACCGATAAATTAGCCTCACCGATACATCGGCTGATACTAGCTTGACGCAGATATATCCAGGTTTGTCCTGCATACAGAATGACGAGGCGGCCGTGTCCGTCACATTTGGTCCCGCCTCCATCTCTTAACAAAACTCTGAGAGTGTCATCATGGTAGGGCTGGACAATAAAACAATAACAATAATTATCGCAATCTAATTTTTTTCAATAACAATATAACAAATGTTTGATTTTATTTACTTGAATTATACATGAATTAGGACTTTTTTTTAATTAAGATGTTTATTTTGTTGTGGAAAGAGGACTGAAAAAAGCTTTTACTTAATTTTACTTGTGCATATTTGTTTATCATTATTGTTTTGAATGTTCCACCTAAGATTTGTGAAGTGATCCACTGTTTGGCCTCAAGTGTTGCACGTAAAGAAAAGTTTAAACCAAAATTAACCATCAGGTTTCTTCAACTTTCACTCAGGAGCAAAAATCTGACTTTAAACTCAAAAGAAATAATGATTTGATACTTATCGTGTTAATTATCGATATCAAAAGATATGAAACTTTTTGTCATGATAACATTTTTGGCCATATCGTCCAGCCCTACTTCATGGTAAACACTACTTACTAGCATGTGTTGCACTTTGTGGATTTCTGTCATTTATAACTGCACTTAAGTCATTACGCTAACGTGGTGACGCTGTATCATAATCAGCACAGTGCGCAGAGAAAGCCGTCTGATTGGCTGCACCTGCGGCAGTGCGGGTCATGTCTCTGCCACGCAGTAAAAATGTTTTTGAACATTTAACAGCAATTCACATCAACTTCCCCACACGAGGGCCCCGTGATCTATAAATGAAACAGTAGCTGTTATATTTGATTTGAAACAACTTGCTGTTTGTTAACTGTAAATGAACACAATCACTTTTGTTGTATTTCTTTTCATAGTGAACAGGGCACCTTTATATATTTTTAAATATGCATTGATTATTGTCATTTTCTTCCTTCATATGATTATTAGAACTCTTAAATTACGTTAAAAGTAAAAAGTGTTTGCTTTAGCCAGTTGACGGCGCTCATTTTGAGCCAGATAAAACCCTGTATATTGTATTGCATAAAGGACGACCGATAAATACAAGTAGCTGCACATGCATGTCATAGACATGTTGGATGTAGCCTATTAGAAGCAGTTTCTCTATAGAAGGTCAGTGGTTCGATCCCCGGCTCACCCAATCGTTCTGTTCATTTCTGTTTCAAATGAGCAGTTGGCCCTTTAGCCAAAACATCAGTGGGTGAATGTGATGTAGTGTAAAGCACTTTGAGTGGCTGGAAAGGCGCTGTAAAAGTACAGACTGTTTACCTTTATAATTCATCTCAATCTGTCGACTGTGTTTACTGATTAATCGATGAACCGTTTAGTGTATAAAATGTTAGGAATTTGTGAAAAGTGTCCATCACATTTACAATAGCCTCCATTGCTACATTCACATGTCTTGATTAGGCAAGTGACTTTAACTTGACCCAACTTTTGTTTGTTTTCTCAGATCCAGGAAGCCCCGGCCCCTCGGGAGCGTGCAGCTAATCTTCCCTTAGAAGAATTCAAGTTTTTTCTGTGTACAAAACAAAACCACAATTAGGACTAAGAGGCAATTTCGGAGGGGATGGTGCTCTCCTGGCACTATCTACCATGTCTCTTAGTGAGTAGTTAATTACTATGTAAGCAATGGAGAAATTAAGCAGCAGCCATATATATGATTTGAGATTTTTGTAAAAGTTGGATGTATTTGTTTTAACAGACCTGAAGGCTTTTTTTTCTCCCTGACACCCCAACAGGATTTTGTCTTTGGTTGAGTTGGAATTCATAGTCTATGTTGTGCCCAGGACACACTTTGCAAGTCAAACACATGAGCAGGCTATCTCGTCTTGCAGCCTATTTAGGGCTGTTCGACAGATAGTTCAGTTATTCCTCCGGACTATTGTGTGATCATGGAGCAGTGTAAGCCAGCAGCAGATGCCAATGCATGTCTTTGCACTGACACCTAATCTAAAACTAGCCCGGCACCTCGCCAGGCAGTAAACAACTGCATAGCCCTTCACTGACAGGATCCAGAATGTAAACAAGGAGGCCAAAACTGTTGTTAGCCCAAATGTCAATGGATAAATCCTTCAGAGTCACGTTCTGTCTTATTAAAATATAATATACAGTATATATACTGAAAATGATTTAATTGGGTAATCACATGAAAGCATCTGAATTTATTGTCATTGCTATTACTTCTTAATTCTAAAAAAAAATCATTGTACATTTCATATGTTCTGGAGTACACATTTCCTTGTAAGTTAACACTCCGTTCAATCTTATGCAGACAGACACCATTCTCAACTCTGACATTTTCCCTGGCAGCAAAATTATATGTCAATTATAAAAGGAAGGACACAAGAAATCATTAGTATTGCCTGTCACTTCGGCATATATCAAATCCACCGATCTGTAGTAACATCTCAGTAACACCTCATGATTTCTAGCAGGTTCACCTGTGCATCCTCCGCATGAACACAGAGTGGTGGTCAAGAGATCGATGACAGAGTTTATAAAAGTTCAGATTTTATTAAAATGTGGTTCTGTGTGGTGGATTGTGTATATGCCGAATTAGCTATAAGGCACTAAAAGCGTGTTTAAAGTTATCATACATGTTCTACTGTTTGACTATAAGTAAACTAACAGGTATGTTAGGTTTTTGACAGCGCTGGGACAGTTTCCACTGTTATTGGAACACTAGCGAAATTCAGCCGGTATCTCCAATTGAAGAGAGACTTCTTTAAATACGGGCAGCCAGTCTGTCTTTTTGTTAACATTCATTAAGGAGTGCCCGCTGCTACTCATTCTCCGTACATTTAGCCTCTCCTCATTTGTTAACTTGTCAGTCTCAACTGTCAAGGTGCTCGACTCCCCGGTCACGCAAAGTCCAAATACACACGTCTTTCCATGTATAACGCGGCATTATTTGTATAAGTTGAGGGTCGTTTTAGTTCGCTTTGTCAGAATAAATACGTTTAGAAAGAGCAGAGTTCTTACCTGTTGTAGATAGAGAACTGCAGGTGGAATCAGACAAATCCACTGTAGTTACGGCGGGGAGAGCGCTGGACAGCACGAGACGGAGGAGCCAGCGTCAAGTGAAAAGCATAAATGCATCCAACTTCCGATTGTAACTTTCAAAATAAAGCGTTTATTGATTAAACCGCCACAAACATTGAAACGTTGGCGGTCTAATCGTCTGTCTTTTTATTTGTTTGGAATATGCTTAGCAGGTTTTGTATATACTGGACATTTCGACGTCAATTTCTGAAATTACTGAGCAGTAACCTTTTCGTAGCTCGACCAGCCACGAAATTATGTTTTTATTTTGAAGGCAACATTATGTAACTTCTGTAATCAATTACCCTTCTTTATTCAGACCAACTTCACAAAGTGTTATAGATGCTAAATGTACCTGGATAAGCGGGACCCCACAGAGTGCAAGTTATTTCTAAATTCTAATTATATTATATATATTATAAATCTTAATTCTAAACAAAAAAAGTCATTAGTTAATCAATAACAAATACATTCAGTGTAAGATGCAGTGTAACTATAAATGTTTTTGTTGTTGAATTACCTGGGTGATTGCAGTGAGAATAAAACGTGCAATTGGCTCGTGCATTATTTCTAATTTAGACCACTGCGGCAAATTAAATTGTTGCTTATTTTCCTGCATGAGATATTTCAGAAGACTCCGGGCACAGTGTAGTATGTGATGGCGACATCTGCTGGTTAAAAACTTTCTAGTTGTGTGTTTTGTAATTTTATGCAGAAGTAAATGCATATATAAAAAGTTTTTCAAAAATGTTTAATTTAGATCAAAATAATCTAGATTTTCTAATATTTAAAAAAAAATCCAACATTTTTTTTTTTTACTTGTCAGGATCATCATGACACTATAATATGTAGCGAGCACATTTGTAGTCTATGTCAACATATACTGTGTAAACAACATACATTATGCATCTAGGCGCAAAGGTTGAGGTTATTCCTGATTCATTTTGGGTATGTTATTTTAGGCATTTTTCCTGAAAATAGGTGTCTGTGTTTAATTAAATAATGCATCTGGTGCATAGTTTACTGGAAAAGATTGGCAATATCACACTTTGCAGCAAACAGGCCAGACCTCTATCAGTTCAGGTGTGGCCTGACAGGTTAAGTCCCGCATCTTAAGCAGAAAGGAGGGTTTTCAACACAGGTGTTGAACAAGTTAAAGGTGAGCACAGAGAAACTCCCCTCCTTCAGCAGCTGAATGTACAACATTCACAGTCATATTATATTTAAAAGTTCTTGAATTGGCCAGCACACACAACCCCCCGACAGAGAGAAACCTCTCTATCATGGCTCCAGTGCGCTTATACATGTCGCAATTCATCACCATAGTTAGGTAAGAACAGACTTGGCTGTCAGTGACTCCACTTTCATCATTTTCCTCTTGTTGCTCTGTGCAAGAAGAAATGTAAGAGTACAATAAGGAAACTTTCATGCATGCGGCCCATTGTGTGCATCTTTGAGGTCTAACAAATGGGATAAATGCATTTCCTTCCTTGTCAAACATTTTCAAAGCAGATCTTTTGGAAAGTTTAAATCCTGCATTGTTTAGGTGCATATTTACTTGCTAGCAGTCTTCTTCTTCCCTGCCTTTTGTTGGCTGCATTTCAAGGCATGTTGCTGCCACATGTAGATTGGTGGAATAGTGTAAAAAAAAAAAAAAAAACATTGGCAGAAATATGTATCACATCACCAGAGATAGCCGCTCATAAAGAAACTGCTCCATTGCTCTATTAGTGGTCAAAAACACCACAAGGTACCTTTAAAGCTTTGATCCTGCTTCAGTACAAACACCAACAGCTACGGACAACCGCCTCAGTACATACTGCAGTGTCGGGTCTGCAGGCACAGACACGTTCCTCACTTGTGCATTACAAAACATTGCAAAACATGATGCAAGACAGAAAGAAGAGCAGCTACTATGTTTGTTTTTGTAAAAAAAAATAAATGAAAAGAAAATGGTGTGTTATTGTTGCACTGACAGAAAGAATATGAGTCAGAGGCAGTGACTGTCATGGCCGGTCACATTCACTGCTTTCATCCCAAGTAAACACAGGGACATTTTGGGGATCTTTTAGAGAATGTTCCTCAGAAAGAAAAATCTATTGCTATCTGTTCTGTGCAGTTTTAAATATGAATACAGCATCTCAAATACACTAGAGCAGATGATGACATCTTGAGTAATGAACATCCCGTGGTCACCATGTTTCCATAGTGGGTGATTTTATTTGTCATCGCAATGAGCCATACACTAACCATCTGAAGTTAAATACTACCTCATAATGAAATAATAATATATCCAAAAACAACCATGGTGGATATTTTCTATTGGCCATGTCTTTATTGGCCCATTAGAGTCCTTTTGAATTATTTCTATGACTTTGTTTGCACATTCAGCTGCTGAAGCAGGAGAGTTTCTCTGTGGTCACCTTTAACTTGTTTAACACCTGTGCTGAAAACCATCTTTTCTGCGTGTCTTAAGGAGCAGGACTCAACCTGTTAGGCCACACCTGAACTAATAGAGGCCAGGCCTGGCAGTGTGATATTGCCAATCTTTTCCAGTTAACTGTTCACCAGATGCCTTATTTAAGTCAGTTTAGGATATGGAGACAACATGTCAAGGAAATGCATTTATTCTATTTGTTAGACCTCAAAGATGCACACAATGGGCCTCATGCGTGAATGTTTCCTCATAGCTCTCAACATTTTCCTTTCAACAAGAGGAAAATGATAAAATCCTACGTTGGGGTCATGAACAGTGCACTGACAGCCAAGTCTGTTCTTACCTACCTGAGTATGAGGACTTGCGATCTTAAATTAGATGCACGTGCCATAACGACAGCACTTCAAACTGTCAAGAAGACAGACATGGATAAGCGCACTGGAGCCATGATGGAGAGGTTTCTCTCTGTCGGGGGGGGTTGTGTGCTCCCCCCAGGCAGCGTGCCACCGCATTCAAGTTGTGTTTCTGTGCATTAGATATTATTTGGACATTGATTGAATGGAATTGTTTTCTATTGAGGAAGGGGAGCGGATTTGGAGATGGTGCCTCGATGCACACGCATGAATTCAGTGGATTGCTTATAGGCTAGTACAGCAATGGCATAAAAATCAGTTTTTATGCGAGTCTGTTGAGCAGTGGCATGTGGAACGGAATGTGCTGGGGTGTTAACTGGATGATACCCTGGAGAAGTCAGGAAACCGATAGCGCTGAGTATTTGCAGATGAGTGGAGTGGGAATAGATTGCACAATTAAAGTTCAAATCTGTGCATACGCACAATTCATGCACGAGGCCCAATGTGTTTTGGTGAGTAACAATGTAAACATAGCTTTTGTTTGTTTACAAGAAAACTCTACAGGGCACCTTTAATCCATTGTTTTTATAAACAAAACAAGATTAGTAAGACAGTTTAAGTGTCTTCAGCTGTTTGTGGCTTGCAGTAGAGGGTGTAAAGATGAGGGCCAGGTCACAACATAGACAGTATTCCAGACTGGTGAATAGGCAGGGTTCGCGGAGGAAGAAGAGACCCGTGACAGTAAAGCAGAGGAGGATCCTGACATCCTGTGAATTCAAACAATCATTCAAACAATGTATCAACCATTGTTCCACTGAAGACAAAGTGAGTGTTACTATTAAAATAATGATAACTGGTGTTTTTGTGTCCAGTACAGTTTGTGTCAAGTTAAAATAATCCATACATCTGCTCCACTGATATCAAATTTACACATAATCTGTGTTACAGCTTGGCCAGTTGATAGATGTACTGACTTTTGCAGACTGATCACACAGACATGAGTCCGACTGTCTAACTCTTGGCAAGACTAAGCTAAACTATTTCTTTAAAGAGGTCATATTATGCTCATTTTCAGGTTCATAATTTTATTTTGGAGTTGTACCAGAACAGGTTTACATGGTTTCATTTTCCAAAAAGACAGCACAGTGATCCAGTGGATAGCACTGCCTCACAGTAAGAAGGTCGTGGGTTCAAACCCCAGTTGCCCCGGCTTTTCTGTGTGGAGTTTGCATGTTCTCCCCATGTCTGCGTGGGTTCTCTTCAGGTGCTCTGACTTCCTCCCACCATCCAAAGACATGCGGACTAGGTTGATTGGTGGCCCTAAATTGCCCTTAGGTGTGAGTGGTTGTTTGTCTATGTGTGTAACCTATGGACTTTTCATTTCCCCATCATTCCCAGGCAGAGGAAATTCCTACACTTCTCATTCAGGGGAATCCATGTGTAACACATTTTCCTGATGGCCTGTGCTCTACCAACTGTGCTAACCAGTCACAATAAAAAGTACTCTGAAATTATCCCAAAGAAACACACCAGCCGACCCCTGTATTCAGCTATGGTTTATTATCTCGAGATCACAAGAAACACAAGTTATCATCATCATAATCCTGTCTAGAAAACTGTGGTGTCTTTTATCTTATGATGTTAAAAATTGCGGTGTCTTTTAAATTGTAATGTAATATATATTTAATTTAATGTTTAATTGTGTTGCTTTGTACCTTGTGATGACGTGCATGGGGCCTACAGATGGAAAATAGCCTTCGGGCTAATTCTGGTATATTCACATTGCTGAAAAGCTAATAGGTTCATTGATATGCACTGGCCCTTTTAAATAAATAAATAAATTCAAAGGCAAATTAGAGCTCACAGACATATTTTAATGATTCTGCGAAAAAAGAAAAAGTTAATTATACGAGAAAACAATTCTTTTATTAAAGTAATAAATTGCATACATTTAATGATATTTCCTTGAGTGAGCTTTTACGAGCTCCGGCCGACTGAAGGCCATTTCACAGACTAAACATTTAAAGGGCTTCTCTCCTGTATGGGTGATTTGGTGTCTCTTCAAAATACCTGCGCTTTTAAAAGATTTGTCACATGTCGGACACTGGTACGGCTTTTCCCCCGTATGCATCCTCATGTGTGCAGTAAGGTAATAAGACTGCACAAACCCCTTGCCACATTCTCGGCATGTGAATGGCCTCTCCCCGGTGTGATAGCGAGTGTGAATCTTAAGCTCGGACGCCGATCTGAAGCTCTTGCCACACTCGCTGCATGAGTATGGCCTTTCCTCTGTATGGGTCAGATCGTGTCTCGTCAAAGAGCTCGCGCTTCGGAACAGTTTGCCACAGCGGGAGCATGGGTAGCGCACGCCGTGTGTAGCTTCGCCACGTGGAGGTCGAGGCTTCTTTTAGTGCGTACGCTTTTCCGCAGTCCTCACAACAGAAGCGCTTCTCCTTGGCACTGCTGTGACAACACAGCCTGTGGATTCTCAGAGCGGCGTTGGACTTGCAGCCTTTCCCACAATCCCAGCAGAGGAATGGCGCCTCTTTTGTGTGAGTACGGTCGTGTAGCGTCAGAGCGGATGCGTAACTGAACGCTTTAGGACACTTTGGGCATTTGAAAGGGAGCTCGCCTGTGTGGAACCTCTCGTGCTGATCAGGCCTCTTAGATCTGTGTAAGTTCGTTCACACAAAGTGCAGCGGAAAGGTCCTCTGAAGTCATGCACTTCGACATAGTGCTGGTTGAGATCTATGAAACCTTTAAAACTCTCACCACACTTGGTGCATGGGAGAGGCTTGTGTCTCAGATTATGAGTCTTAAGTCTTGCTGTGTCTGGGAATGACCTGTTGCACTCCACACAATACAGTGAAGAATCAGTGTCTTTGTGCTTAAAACCCTTCAATTTCTTGCCGCTATGATTACCCTGATGATGGTCCTGGCTCGACTCCTTTATGTCTCCTAACTGTACTTTGCTGCTGGCTGGTCGGAGATCTTGCTCGGTGGGAACAGGTACTACCTCTCCAGAAGGAGCATGCACTTGTTTCTTATTTACCAGAAATTCCTTTTCATGATTCCTAACGTCTGACAGTGAAGTTCGGAGTTTGCCACGAACTTCCCCTTGCTTTGGGTCTTGAGTGTTTTTGTATTCAAGTCCTTCAGAGCAGCGGTTCTGAGGCTGTGGCACAGTGATTCGACACACATTTAACTCGTGTCTCTTCAGGTCGTACTGGAACTGAAAGCATTTCTTACAGCGCCAACATTGGAAAGGCCGCTCTCCTGTGTGAGTCCTCTGATGCCGTCTCATATCTGAAGCCCGACTGTATGTCTTACCACATGTGGGACAAGTCTTGCTGGTTGAGGGTACTTCAGAACCCCCATTTGATTGCTTATTTTTGGGTGTTATCGAAACCTTATCATCTTCAGACCTTGGTATTGCCTGACTATTCTTTGGGATGTGATCAGAGCAGGTACATACAGTACAGGAGACATCACTACATTAGATACATTGGTGTTTTCCACTTTGTCAGTTACTGTTCTGGTACTGACCTCCTTGCTTTCTTCTTTCGTGAAGTCTTTGGCCTCACAAGGGTTCATGACTTTGGAATGATTGTCATCTGTGGTTCTGACTAGGGCTTGAACTTGCTCTGCCTGTCTATTACCCATCACAGAAAGATAAGTCTCTGTGGTATCAGTCTCCTCAGCAAGAATTTCAATATTATAACCGACTTGGACCTCAACAGCACAAGAGTCTACACTCATTTTATCCCCATTCAAAGACTCAACATGTTGAAAAGAGTATGAGCTCTCCTCCTCTACTCCTTCTTCACTGTTAACAAAGGACTGATTCTTTAAACCTCCGGTTTCTGTCTCTCCCAATTTTGGTTGGTCACTCTCTGTCTTTACATCATCTGCATTTTTTCTCAGTGTAGCAGGCACCGCTGTCAGTTCTTTGTTGAATGCATCCATGTAATTGGATAACACATTTGCTTCTTGTGGTGTTTTTTCTTCTGCCATCAACGCTGTTGTCAAAGGTGGCAGACAGAGAGCTGAACAAATGCTGGCACCAACTGCTGGATTATCTGAAAAATTTAAATACATACAATTACCACTAGATTAACAGCAGACTGCCAAACTTACGGAAACGTACTGCTGCCACGTAGGGCTGAGCGAATATATAATATATATATTATATAATTGCATTAGCGATAATATCGCAATGTGATAAAAGAAGATTTTCTAATCGCAAAAGCTGCGATTATACTGTGGTCACTTGACATGCGAGTAAAGCAGTCTGCAGAGGAAGCATCATCTTGGCACGCTACACTGCACCGTGACTTACTGTATTGCACAATGGCCTCTGGCTTGACAGAAGCTGACACTGCACAAACTTTAGTGTCAAACAGGGAATGAAATTAGCACCCGCCAAATGCAGGTAAATTGTTGGCGATGGCGGGTGTCCGCCACTTTGACAGACAGGGAAAATGCACAACAGAAAGATACGTGTAGTAGTGTTAGCGTATTGTGGCAATCGGCGCACACGCCTACATCACACACACACAAACACCAGTCAGCTCAAGGAATATCTGTGACGGCGTTTCTAATCAAACCGATCAGTCCAGAAGAGTTCCAGTGTGTTACAGCCAGAGCGCTGCTTACCAGCAGCATCAGGGAGGGTGGGTGTGTGCGTGTGTATGTGTGTGGGGGGGCACTCTGGTGTTATCGGAGCTGGTCTATTACATGCGAGAGGCGTCACTTGGTTTTATTTTCATTTGCCAGCTTTTGTATTGAACCTCCAACTGAGTTTTTTTTTTGTTTTCTTGCATGGATACAGAAAAAATAGTTTTTTGTTGAGATATGGACTCTTGTGAAGATTTGATTTGCTTACTGTATAACACACTGTGGTGTGTATACAGTCATCTATAGTTAGGCTTACCTCATGATATTATATGATATTATTTAATGCCATGACTTGACTCAAATTATCTTTAACCTGAAATTATAATTTGTTCATATAATTCATGCATCACCTAATTTCATCATAACATAGGAAAGAAAGAACAGTGTACGTTTAATCTATCTAATATTGGGTTGGTCATACTACACACTGATTTACTGCATGTCAGTTTTGAATAATACTATTATACTATTATTATAATAAAGAGCTTAAAAAATAATCGCATATTAAATTGCAATCGCAATACTGGTGAAAATATTAACAATTTGATTATTTTCCAAAATTGTTCAGCCCTACCGCCACGCCAGACAACATCATAGGTTATCACATTAAAACAAGAAAATCTGTAGTCAACTATTCACGTGGCAGCAATACGCTGACGTACAAACTGTACTGCATGCTTACCATTTTTATTTAGTCCAATGAGATCTTTGTGATGTTCCAGAAGAGATTTAAATTCTTGAGACTGACAGAAAGACTTCACACAGTCGGACAGAACAGCAGGCATATCGCTGAGCATACAGGCAACCTGCTCATGAGAAAGATCATATCAATCTAAAAACTTGGAAATATTGTTTTACGCCAATAAATGCTGTAAATGTAGTCCTAGATGTCTTAACCACACAGTGTGCTAGAATTGTAGGTTACCTGTTTAATATTTGGGACAGTAAGTAACTCGTCAAGCTGCAAGAGGAATATCTCCACAAGCATCTGTATATCTTCAGAGTACTTGTCTCCAAACCTCACTGGGAAAACATCCTGAAATAAAGCATGTGATCTTGGTGAACATTGATAAACAGTTTTCAACAGAAAGGATAAAAATATCTACAAGCTCAAAGTCACACAACCAGAGACTCCTACCTGGAAGAAGTGCTGCCTCTCATCCTGGTCTTTAATTAAGGTGTGAATAAGACCAAGGAGGTTTGATGCAGACAATCCATCCCCTGAATCACTTATCTACGAAAAATTGGTAAGTTCTGGTTGCCATTTAATAATAGTAATCATGCCGTTCATGAAATACAGGTAAACGTACCTCTGTGTTCCACAGTGAAGTGATTATATCCAGGTGTGGCTGAATGGTCGCAAGGTCTATTATCTGCTCTGGGCGACACATCTCCAGTGACAGCTAAAATCAAGAAGAATCTGTTAAATTCCAGCCTTACACTTGAGGTGTCTCTGAAAAACTGCATGTAGGTCAATATTCCACCTTCCTTATACAGTAGCCTACCTGAGCCCGAAGGCCAAGGCTCAGCAAACACCTCTGTCTGCGATTGAGCAGCTCTGGGACAATCTCAGTGACCGCTGTCACAAAGTCATCCAGCAGCCCATAATTGGCCACAACTTTCTGCTGGACAGTTTCCCAAATTGCTGCAGAGACCAGTCGAAGTGGTGGGACCAGGAGGCGCAGACAGGACAGGGGCAGAGGGGAAACTAGATAATGAAAGAAAAATCATTTAAAAAGTTAAAAATGAAAAAAAAAAAAAATTTAAATTACAAATGAGCAAGCAGGAGAATAGACTGGTATTGAAATGAAAGATAGGAGATAAAGAAAGAGGTATTCCTCAGACTAATCTCCTACAAAATACATTTGAACCTTTTTTGTTTTAAATTGTATGCATGCCGATTTCTACAGTCGTTGCAGACAGTCCTTGATAATTATTTCAAGAGCAACGTGCGTCTGGAAAAAAGCCAAGGATGCCTTATTTGACAGATTCCGAACGGAGTTCGGCGGGTCATGTTTAAATAATAGGGGCAGGGCAAATACCTGGGCCACGTTAGAGTATACCGTTAACACCATCCAGCAAAAGGGCTGCGCAACACAAAAACAAAGCTAATATCAAGAATTAACTAATGCATTCAACCCAGGAAGAAACATTAACGTTATGTAATAAGCCTTTCAAATGTTCCGTTTTTGGTTGAACAGCCTAAATTACATGACGGATATGTATATATATATATTTTAAAAAACAAACAAAATCCCAGCAAGTGTGAAGTCAGCGTGATATTTTAGAGGTCATGGAACGAGCCCAATGCGATGATGTCACGACCCCAAAATGTATTATTTCTGCGAAACATGACTGCTACCTGTCTTTTCAGAAATGCGACGCATATTTCAACTTCATCAGTTCCGTCCTCCTCAGCAAAATGAATGGGAACACCACGATGAAGCTGCGAGCGAAACCAGCGGACAAGCATTTAGCTGAATAATTCGCGGGACACATTTCAGTGTGACTCAGGAAGTGCAGAAAATGCGGATGTGATTTTTTTTTTTGTTGTCATAATGGGCAGAGACCACAGGGACCACACCACTGAAAGACTATTAAGAAATGAAAAGACAATGGCTTTCTAAGACTAATATGGCGAGTAAATAGCAGCTGGCTCTTTTAAGTCCACCGCACCCTCAGGTTTGTTTGTTTGTTGTCTTGGAACTGGAGACATGACGTGTTGGTTTACAGTTGGGTGCCATTAACGTTACCTTCTTTAACACCATCAAATATTAACTGCATCTCAGTGCTGTCCACTGGCCAGTCAGGTCTCTTCTTCAAGCCTGCAAGGTGTCTCTCAACTTTCCTACTCAGGGTTGTTGTCCATTATGTGTCATCTACAGCTGAGGACTTTGATTTTTGTAGCCTGGGTGTTCGGCTACATCGCCTTTCTGCTCTCCATCAGGAGGATGTGGTCGGAGAAGTACGTCCGTAGTCCACTCGTCCGTTCGCTGTTAATGAATATGGTGAACGAGAGCGAAGCGGCCGCGATGGAGACACAAGAGGTATCAGTTATTAATAATCTAATAATAATCTGGCCTGTAAGGTGAACTAAAATGGTCCGAATGTGTGCCCGTTTTGACAAAACAACTACAGACAACGCACATGCGCAGACTAGACTCATCTGTGTGCAGTTTTCCCACTTGGCAAGCTGCAGAGGTTGGATTTGTAATTGGCACCACGTCTGATATATTGTCCATTTTCCAGTCCTGATGCTCTCCCACTGAAGTTTCAGAGCTACAGATACATTAGTATTGTTATTGTTTATAGTTGACATTTAATCGAAGGAACATGTTGGCAACCTGCAAGACTTCTTCAGTTCTCTCTTTCTCCTAAATTTGAAATGTTCTGTTATTCTTCCTCCTGTGGCTCAAGTGGTACCAGTGCAGCCCTGACCTGCTTGGACAATCAGTGAAACCCCTGTTTGTCCAGAGCCACCTGGACACAGACACCAAGGCCTTTTTAAAGCGGAGTGTGGAGAAGTCTGGCTGGCTGTTCACTCAGCTCTATCACTCATTTGTGTCTACAGTCCTCAGCCCTGTGGTCTCCCGCACTTCCATCAATGGGTTAGTAGTACAGACACGTCTCTGTCTCTGTCTGACCTGTAGTGGATCTCCCTCTGACGTGCTCTCCGTCTCAGGTTTCTGGGTCGTGGTTCTATGTTCGTGTTTTCGGCGGAGCAGTTCCAGCAGTTGCTCCGGATTGGCCCAGAGTGGAGGGCTGAGAGGCTCCTGGACCTCGGAGCTGGGGATGGAGGCGTCACAGAGGTGATGGGAGTCCATTTCAGAGAGATCTATGTAACGGAGGTCTCATTACCCATGAAATGGCATCTCCAGAGGAAGAATTACATGTAAGTAGTAAGTCACAGTTTAGATTTAAACTCATAACTCCTTCCATGTTTATGTTGATTTGATAATTCAGTAGGATACACACTGCCGTTTGGTGTTTTTCTTCTTTCCTTTAATAAAGGCTATTTTAACACAAACAGAATAATTCAGACACCAAATGTATTATTTACATTTGATATAGTTTTGGCCTAGCCTGGGTTGCCAAGCGCTGCGTTCCACGTTTTTGTTGCTGGAAGTGTTCCGTTTCATTGACAGTAACTTGACAGCCATCAGCATTTCTGTTAAAAACCGAAACTCAGATTTTGGTATTTAATGTTTCTAATTTATGGACCACAACGTACAAAACGGGGAGATTTCTTGCACCATTAAAAGTACCTTGTTACCACCTGAAAGTCCTGTTTTTCTGTTCAGTGTGCTGGGTATAGATGAATGGCAGCAGACTAGTTTCCAGTATGATGTGATCAGCTGTCTGAACCTGCTGGACCGCTGTGACGATCCTATGCATCTCCTGGGGGACATCAGGCGGTCGCTAGTTCCCCGCACAGGGAGACTCATCCTGGCTGCAGTGCTTCCCTTCCAGCCGTATGTGGAAGTCGGTCAGTTGGGAATCAGTACAACTTGCCTCATATGCATTTGATTTCATATACTTCCTCTGTGATCCAAATAGTAACACAAGAATTTCCCCTCCGGGATCAATAAAGTATTTCTGATTCTGATAACATTCTGTCTATATTCGTTCCTAGGAGGAAGATGGCAGCGTCCCAAAGAACACCTAAAAATACAAGGAAAAACATGGGAGGAGCAAGTAACCAACCTGTCCAATGAGGTTTTCCAAAGGGCGGGGTTTGAGGTGGAGGCTGTGACCCGGTTGCCATACCTCTGTGAAGGGGACATGTATAACGATTACTACGTACTCGATGATGCAGTGTTTGTTCTCAAGGCCTCAGAGGATAGTTCAGAGTCTGCTCACTGAATACCAAATGACCGTCGGAGGCCCTTATTTTGCTAATCCAACTTTATCTCGGTAGGTTGCTACTGTAAGGATATTAGTGCAATTTTCACAAGCTTCATTCATACAACACACTATTTCTTACTTGCAGGAAATAGTGAGTTGGGTGTGAAGTTCAGGTGCTGTAGTTCCTACATTTACCAGCTATCTTGTGTGACAGTAATATGTCCACTTTTTAAGCAAAAAACAAACAAACTGAAGGGCAGTTTGCCCATATTGAAAGTCACTAAACATATCGCCGTGGTGTAGGTCTCCATTCTAATACATTATTTGTGGGAAATGTTTACTGTTAGTGTTTCGTCATTCTGTAATATATATGGGAATGATCTTGGTTGAGTCTTTGTTACATTTGTACTTGAATTTTTTCCCGTTATTTTTTGCCCCATCTGTTTTGAGTCAAGTCGCCCCCTACTGCGCCGTGATTGGCTAGTAATTGCCGTCCTCTGTTTTACATTGTTGATTGTAACCCCTCAATGTAGCTGGTTGTCATAGCAACGCCTCACACAACTGCAGGAACATAATGTTCAAAGCGACCCACACCCGCAACCCACACACACTAGTTGATGTAACACCAGTTGTCTCTTGATTTAAGTTCAAACGTTTCAGCATTAAATAAAGACAAGTCCAAAAACGTTTAAGCACATTTTCGAAGCGCCATCAATTTTCAGAAAACTGCCAATAATCGAAATCTACACAGTTGATTTATCTCCTCAAAACTTTTCAGAAGTGGATTTAGTAAGGAAATAGCGTCCGAAAATTGTAAAATATAAAACATTCTGTTGCTGGCCTCTGTCTGGCGCGCACAATGGTGATGCAGTGAATAGTGAGTGACGATTCTCTCTGACCAATCAGTAGTCTGCTGTGTTGTCACGTCACATTTTAATATTGCCTCAGCTCGCTTGGAACCTTAACGGAGGTGAAAAGTACCAAGTAGCAGGAACAATTACCAGGTACAGATTTTCTAGATCTGACTAATTAATATACCACATTAACACTTCTGAGGGCCATACGTTAATAATGAGCGTAGTCGTTTCCCTACATAAAATGTTATTTAAACTGAATAGCTTTAATTTTAAATAATTTTGCCTGTTTTGCTATTTTCCACAGTTCACAGGGTGGCTGTGGCTCAGGAGGTAGAGCAGGTCCCCCACTAATCAGAAGGCTGGTGGCTCGATCCCCAGCTGCTCCAGTCTGCATGAAGACTAGAAAGGTGCTATATAAATGCAGTCCATTTACCACAATCCAACCTTTGTTTTTTCTCGATGGCAGTACATGGTTTAAGGAATATGTTCATCGAGTTGAAGTTACAGTTCTGAATACAAGATTTGCTGACAAGAAAATGTTATATTAACAAGGGATTAAATTCCATAGAGAACTCTCATATCCTGAAACAACGTGGCGCTCGTATCAACGAATGGTAAAGAGACATGACAACAAACAATGAGGAATAACTTTTGAGGGGGAACGCTGGTGTACTGGCCTCATCCACCTGTTAGAAGTTGTCGCAGCTGCCTCTGAAGCTGGGGGCATTCTGCCCTGGGCCTTGAAGCATTGAAGGGGCATCTTTGAGAAGACGAGTCGAAGGGAGACTCTAGCCATGGAAAGCAAGCCCTACAAGGGATGAGGTTTTGCAGCAGTCAGCTCCTTCTGCTGCTGTACAAACTTGTGGGGTTGGTGGTCGGGGCATATTGATTCGAGCAGCAGAAACAGACTGGGTAGGTTTTGCAAAAATTTTAAATATATTTGTATTATTATTACATTATCGTGAACATCAGTGGTGTCACTGTTGATAGCGGGACTAGTGTCGCTAGTGGGACAATTTGACAGAAAAAACGGCGGCGCCAGCATATATTCACAAGGATGCGTCAAAGTAATGAGCTAGCCAATAACAACACAGTAGGGCGGGACATGACACCTGACAGATGGTGGGGGAAATTACCAATTTATTTGTTTACAGTGTCTCATGCAAAGGACCAATGTATGCACACACTTGATTTAACCAGTATGAATCGGCTTCTTGTACATGAATGCACATTTTTTAAAACTTGTTATTAGTGATAAGTATGAGGCCTTTTTGAACCGAGCCTATGTCACTTATGGGAGTGGATATTACCAAATAATGTTTGGAGCTGCATTTATTGGGGGGGTTTGCCACTAGGGGGCAGCATAAGAAGCTGAAAACACAACAAATATATATATGGTTATTATCAATACAAAACAATAAAACAATTCCATATATAGCCATACAGAAGCAGGAGCGACATGTGCAACTCCTGAGGAAATTATCTGGCTCTTAAGCACAATGTTCATCAGCTACTTGCTAACCTTACCTGTCTGACACTTTTAGCTGAAACGGCTTGCAATACCTGGAAATTAGCCTTATGAGAGTGAAGTTGCAGGCCAGAAAAACAAAACAATGATCCAAAGCAGACTTCAATGCTCTGTAGAGCTGAGGGGGGCTGCAAATTTTTAGCATTTTTATTGCTTTTGAATTCAACTTTTTATTTGTAGTGGGAAAACTGTTTTATTTTTACTTTCAAAAGTTACATGTTCTACATCAGTGCTGTGCACCTAGGATGTTACTGCACAATGGACTATTCAAGATGTGCCACAATGAATGCAACATTTGTGTTTAAAGAGTATTGTATGGGGTTCCAGAATAAAAGAATCTACCTTATTGTCGGCATTTCTGAGATCTCATTTTTCCCTGTCACTACAAGCTTTAGTGACAAAGACACTGTGGAATAGTCCGTCTGAATTAAAGTCTGTTTGTAGCAGTGGTTCCAAACTGAGCTTAAGGCAGTTTCAGGCCACCAACCCAAACAGGGTTTACTTTACCTTGAATCATCTTCACTTTCATTCACTTCATTTTTTCAGAGAAAAAAGAAAGTTTCACCAACACCACTGACTTCAGTGGCTAAATTAAATATGGTAGAGCTCAACGGTCAAAACACAATTATGTGTACTGTGTGAGTTTTCTCAACTGCTGATAGCGGTTTCACTTCTACAAATTATGCAGTTGCACTTGTGAAATAAGCCACAAGCCAAAATATTGTAAATAGACTATTTTTTCCCCAGATATAACATTTCTACGTCTCTGTGATAAAACAGTTTAATTTAAATATTACTCGGTTCACGTGACGTGAAGTATTTCCTCACCATAGCTGGGATGCATTTCCTGGTACAACTAGCTGAAAGATGAAACTCGTATTTACAATATTTTCCACAGAGCTCGGAGGCATCGCATCCTTCGTAGAGCATAATTTATGCAAATGAAGCATCATTTTGTTGTGATTGGCTGAGCGAACTAGCGTTTCTCTGCTTGTATTGGGTGCTGTCGTGTTGGCCACGTCCCCGGGCCACGTCGCGCTTCGCTCGCCATTTTCCCGTCTTGTGAAGCCAGAATCAGCCTCTTCTGGTGTCACGGTGCCATTCAACGCTGTCCGGTCATAAATAACTCGTTACCGCGGACGGACTGAGCTCTTAAGAGTCTTAAATCGGTTTACTTCTGCTGGAGCTCCCATAAACATGAACATTTTTAGGCTAACCGGCGATCTCTCCCACCTAGCAGCCATCATCATCCTGCTGCTAAAAATATGGAAAACTAGGTCTTGTGCCGGTGAGTAGTCTTATGGCTTTATTTGCAGTTTGCGTGGCCCCCTGTCCTGCACGGAATGTGTCCTGGCATGTAAATGTACAGTTTAATCAGAAGGAAAATGTTACCTCCTGTGTAACTAACACTGCAGTTGGAGCTCATCCACCAGTTCTGCGTTGCACAGGAGCGTTAGCTAGCTGGCTAGTAGTAACACCAGCTAACTGGAAATCTGTGAGACTGTCACCGTTAACGTGACTGAGAAGAACAAGACTACGTGCGACATGACTTGATAAATGCTCACGTCGGGAAGGAGCGTTACTGGTAAAGTCCAGCAGCTTGCAGCCGCTGTCCGGCTAACGTTAGCTAACCGGTAGCCTTGACAGTGCCTCGGGCCCGCAGTAACGTAAGGTGGGGACAAGGGGACCAGAGGGCCACAGCACCTGTCAGTTTGGTGTGTCGGGCCTCGTCATCTCAATTGTTGAGGGGGAGACTGTGCTAGCTTCCCTCGGGCACCCTGTTATCCCCATTAGGTTACGCTGGTGTGACCCCTCTGACGTGGCAGCACTGAGTAACGTTACCCAGAACTTGACAGTTGGAGACGCGGAGTCACTGACTTGAACACACGTCTCTGCATTTGCTCAGCAGGGTTGCAAGGGAATAGTTAATGGTTGCGTGCTGTATTGTCACGATGAAACGCTGCAGTGCTTTCCTGCACTTCCAACGGTCAAAGGTTAGGACCGTATCACCGCGAGACAAGCAGTCACCTGAGATATGTCATTACTGCTTAGATTAAACCAGACGAGTTCATATTGTTCACCTCCAGTGTACTAAACAGCTAAATGAGTAAATGTAAACAGTTGCATATTGGACCTGAATTTAACCAGCTAATGCTGTATCTGATGTATTGTAACTGGCAGCGCAGGGGGTGTGACAGTGGGGCAGGTGCTGTCACTTGCCAACACGCCAGATAAACAGAGAGGCTTACTCCAAATGCAGGTGAGGTTGAAGACTGTCGGTGTTGCACTAAGCAGACGTTCTCAAACTTACAGTGCCACCTGCTTATCAGAGGGCTACAGTGTATCTTTGTGATTAAGGAGGTGGAGCTGGTCGATCCCCAGCTCCACCTTTAAAGTGTCTTTGGGCAAGACACTGACCCCCAAATTGCTCCCAATGGTCAGGCCGGCACCTGGCATGGTAGCTTGCGGCCATTGGTCTGTGTGTGTGAGTAAATGAGAGGCAAATTGTATACCTACAAGTAACTGAATATTACACAACTGATGAGGTTTCAGCTTTTATAGATTAGATTTTCTATATTCTTCACATTTTTTTCCTGATCTTTAAAGCGTAACAAACGCAGTTCCTTGAAGTTTAAGCACAACAAACCAAATGTAATTTAATTGTGTAATGACCTAGGGTGAGCTACAGCCGCCACTAATTCACATCAACACTGTCAGGATGAATAGATTCCCCCTCTAGATAAGAGCGCATTCTTTCTCATTTTGTCTCCGTTTAAATGACACAACCTTAGATATAAAGCTATTTCTAAAAATGTTTGACTGCCCTCTGCTGTCTCCTCAGGTATTTCTGGGAAGAGTCAGTTCCTGTTTGCCTTGGTGTTTACCACTCGCTACCTGGACCTACTCACCTCCTTCATCTCTCTCTACAACACCACCATGAAGGTGATTAACAACTTCCACGTTGCTCCTCATTCTCATATCCTGTAGTGTTTTAATTTTTTTTTTTTCCCCCGAACACTAAACACACAGTGCTCAGGCTGATACTACAATGTCGACACACCTGTTTGCTGAAGGAAGTTGCCCAGCGGGATGTAACAGACTTGAGTGCCGTTGCTGCTTGATTGTATTCATGACCGAGCAGTACACGCCGGCACCAGCGAATTTTAATCTTTCATGATTTGGATGCTGTTGTGTCTTTCAGATCATTTACATTGGATGTGCGTACGCCACTGTGTACCTGATATACCTGAAGTTCAAGGCGACTTACGATGGGAACCACGACACTTTCAGAGTGGAGTTCCTGGTTGTCCCTGTTGGTGGCCTGGCTTTCCTGGTTAACCATGACTTCTCTCCGCTGGAGGTCAGAAATACTGCACAGACATACTCTGACACGCCTTGCATACAGCAGAGATGCTCGTGTTTCTGAGTGACAGCTGTCACAGGTCAACCTCTGGTTGTCACTGTAAGCAGAGACTCCAGTCGCACACACATACGTGACATCTTTACCAAATGAAGTTAAGTTTCACTTTTGCCTCTCTCCTTCTGTCTATATGTGTCATTCTCTCCCATGCGTGTGCTTTCTTTCTCTCCCTGTCTCTCTTCAGATGTGTTATAACTGACACAGATTACAATTACACTACCTAGCTAACCTTTGGTTAGGTAGTGTAAATTGCAGCCATCTATCTGCACACAACTGTAGCATCTCTTACTGATAAACTACAGTTCAAACAGTCGCACTGTGGCATTGCATATGTCCTACTTAGAGTGGAGACCATTGATGCACCTCGGCCTGAAACTTTACATAGTAAAATAAACTTACTAGTGCCCCAACAGGATTCCTGCACGCATGTCTTTCAGTTGGAGATGATAAACTTGTCTCTTGGACAAGTATGCAAATGTATTTTTTTCAGTCAATATATATCAGTGCTCGCTCTCCCTCTTAGACACTACCTCCCATCATTTTTTTTTTCCCCCCACCAACACTCTGCCCTTCCCTTTGTCTGGCCCAGATTCTGTGGACATTCTCCATCTACTTGGAGTCGGTGGCCATCCTGCCCCAGCTTTTCATGATCAGCAAGACTGGTGAGGCTGAGACTATCACCACGCACTACCTGTTCTTCCTGGGACTCTACAGAGCCCTCTACCTCATCAACTGGATATGGAGGTTCTACTTCGAGGGATTCTTTGACATGATCGCCATCGTTGCTGGGGTGGTGCAGACCATTCTCTACTGCGACTTCTTCTATTTGTATGTAACGAAAGGTGAGTGCTTAATTTACTACCGTGTTTCTTTTTCACCCATTTAGCTTTTGTTGTTTGTTGCCCTCATCAGTTTCTAGAAATATCCTGTGCTGGTTCCATTGTTATTCCAGTGCCTATGCATTTCACAAACCCGAACACAACTATTTTGAATTATACTCAAGACATACAAAGATGTCAGGCTGAAATTTGGGGAAATGTATGTGTATAAAATGAGTCAAAACCTATCTTGGTTTTAGGGGAAATGGCGTTTTCAGAGGGTAACCCAAAAATACATATATTTTTTTGCACCCGGTCCTCGTGGTATTGCAAAATATTTAGTTTTATCTGGTGTGGTCTTGAGTTGTCTGTCTCTGAGATTTCTGCCTCCACCCCAATACCATGAAGCTGAATGGAATTTGCATGTAAGACGTTCAACAGCACCACCTCTTTCCAGAACAAAAGTCCCAGTTAAGACCGGGTTATACTAGACACCATGTTGTCTGAGCATTAGGTATTAATTGTTTTCAAATCGAATTTCTGATTTGAAAATGATAATGTATATTAAAAATGTAGGTTAATTATACAGCACATCTGACCCGTTTTAAACAGTCATGCAGTTACAAGTTTATTCCAGTGTCATCCTTGTGCGAAAGACCTGTTTGCCAGTCACAAGCTCCATGCTCCTCCTGTTACGGTCCTATTCACCAATCACAGCGGGCACAGGGCGTGTGCATTTTACAACAACAAGCAAAGTGTTTCAGCAGCGGAGCGTTTAGCCTGCCACATGTTTTTGACATGTTGTTAGTTTGTCCTTTCTTGTGCTTCTACTTCGATTACTCTCAGTGAGCTGGGGTTGTTCCACTTTCTGTGCAGCAACATAGCCCACATGGAGCATTTCAGAATAAGAGCGTTTTGCCTGCCTGATTTTACTGACTTTTTCAGATCTTGTTGATTTGGTCAGTTGTCCTTGATTTTTGTGCTTCTACTATGGATAAGTAAGCTACATAGTAAATTGTTGTCTGTGCTACATAGTAAATTGTTGTCTGTTATAACTGTTTATTATTGATATACGATCCAGGAGTCTGCACAGGGTGTTTTTATTTTGAAAATCGTGCCACATCACAGTTTTGATGGTGTCTCATGTTGTAATACTCCATGACATGTTTAATCTAGTACACAGTGAATATTGAACTTAAACTAAACTTAAATTTTAAATGTCAAAATCGCAAATCAAATCGTAACCACAATATCTGGCAGAAAAATTGCAATTGTTTTTTTGTTTTGTTTTTTCATCCCCCAAATCGTTCAGCCCTACTGACCATGTCAGAAATCAGAAGCGTTAATACCTTATCTGAACGGCCACTTTCAGACAGTCTCACCTGGAATACATCTATAGTCTTAAACTTGAAAAGTGACAGAAAGAGTTGTGTTAAGAATGACCAAGAGAGGTAGAGAGAGAAGTTCCAACCTCTGCCAATCTCTCACCTCCAACACAGCTGGCCAATCACTGCGTGAAGTGGGTATGAATGTTGGATTGTCAGTTTTGGAAAGTTACAGAAATGGTCGGGCACAGACCCCTAATCCGAAAGGATTAAAGAAAGGAAAGGCAGGTGTTCCAATGCTATTGGACCATCCGACAAGCACTTCTGATGGAGTTTACTGGCCCCTTTACTCTGGATAATCCACAGACCTCACTGCAAGCAGTTTTTATTGGAACTACTATTTTAACCACAGAAATAGTCCCACAAACAAATTCCATTCACCCCCATTGTATTGGTGTGGTAGCAGAAGTAGAGGTGAATATCTTAATATCCAGGCAAGGTGGCTGCCAACAGCTGGCGACTAATAAGGTGCCACGAGCCATTGATATAAAAGATTGCTAGCTTAACAGGTTGGGAACCAGTGTCTCAACAAATAACGGCATAACTACCTGCATGCTGTTTTTTGGGAACCCAGTCTTTAAAGTTTAGTGTGAATACTAATGTGAAAGAACACATAATGTTGATGCCAACCTGCAGGTCCAGCCGTCTGTTCTCTTGCTGTTGTGAATGCTGTCAGTCTGCTCTGGTCTGTGTTAAACATAAAGCCGTCCTGTCTCGTTTCAGTGCTGAAAGGAAAGAAGCTGAGTCTGCCAGCTTAAGTGCCAAAGAGGAGTGTTTTGGCAGACTCATAGAGGGGGAACGGAGCGGAGGAGGAGTGGTAGTGGACACCTTTGACAACCCCCCCCACCCACCCTACCCCATCCTCCACCACCGCTTCCTCCTCTTCCCCTCCCGCCAGTGTAAGATGCCTGAGACAGAGAGCGAGTGGGAGCGACTGGCTGCACCTTCTTCTGATCCAGGATCAGTGGAATCACACCTGCAGAGGCTGGTCCTTGGCCTTGGGATTTCTGTTTGATGCATCTTGCCTTAACTTTTTTTATTGCTCTGTACAAAAGGAGGGGGGGAAAAAAACGTCAGAAAAGTTTTCTACAGAAAAATGTGTACTCTGAAGATTTGACACATCGGTGAATAAGAGTTGAAGATGTAAAATTGCCGGCCTTTGGCATTGTATGATATTGAAGCGGACTTCTTGTGGTGGGATATTATTGACTCAAGCGTTTGTAATAGTATTTGCAATCAAAATAAATGTACATTGTTTTTCCTGAATCAATTTGGGGAGGAATTTGTTGAACCCTCATAACTTTGGTGGTCAAATTGTTCATGTTTAGCTTTTCTTGTTTTGACCACTATGCATTTTCATGTAGAATCTATTTTAGTTTCCCGTGCCCTTTACAAATTCAATATAAATAACATATGGTTAATTAATTTAATATTCTCTTTTCAACAGAAACGCAAGTTATTTTTGTTCAAATGCCTTCAAAACAGCCCGGTGTAAGTTGCTTCTGTGTGTCATTTTATTTCTCTTGAGCAGAAAGCTTATTAGGAAACAACACAGAATGAAAGCAAAATATTAAATGGACGCCAATGAACTCCCATCACTGTAAATGGCTTTCTTATTTGAATACCCTGTTCATTATCCAATGAGGACAATATATTGCCTGCAAGTATACATCACTGCCCAGCTCTTTTATTTCTCATGGCTCCTTTTTAATTGTTTGAGATGAGTGAATTCACTGGTAGTGGATGTGAGTCATCACAACAGAAATGGAATTCTTAAATTTAGGTGCAGAAAAATTTATTTTTTATCTTCTTTATGGTTTCCAACAAACAAGAGTCCATAGAATTGTTCACCTGGTGTGCATAATTTTAATAGAGATGAGCACAATCCTATGGACACTGAATCCTTAATGCTCCTCAAGACATATCTGCTTCTATTTTAGTTTTCATGCAGATCATTCCAAGTTTCCTTTTAATTTCCTACCGGAACTTTTGCACGATGTTACCACCACAAATAAAGACTTTATGGGAAACACTTGTCTCTGTGCTGTGGTTAAAAGAATACTTCACTGATTTAGCAGTGCGGTTCCAGAACCAGAAATACCATCTTTTTCATTACACTCGTTCTTCCACGATGCAACTCCACACCCTCAGATTGTTCACATTTTCAAACTTGTAGTCTTTAGCTTTAATTGACGCTGACTCAAGTTATGTCATAAATCAGATGTCCCACAGCTCACACTGAAGCTACAAAAGGCCTTTATCAAGACATTTCATATGCAGTAGTACTCCCCAACCCTTTAATGTGTAAAATCAGCGAGTTCCTTTTTAATGAAATCATTACAGCTGTTAAAATGTGATCTTAAACAATCCCTTAGCATTAACAGAGCAGCTTAGTTGATGGCTAGTTTTAAATTTTGCGAGCAGGGAGAATCAGCTTAACTGTTGAAAATGAAGTATGGTATAGTTTGCAGGAGATGCTGAAGACTGACATGCTGTGTCCACATTTTCAATAAAATACATCAAAAAATTTCAACATATAATTTCTTCTGGTCGTTCATTTGGAGCTCTTTGTTTTGGTAAAAACAGACTATAAAAGTGTGCAATTGTAGAACTGACGTGACTACATGCAGACTGACAGCCGAAGTGTATGGAGAGAATCTATTCATGGACGTAAAACGTCTCGAAACTCCACACACAAATAGAACCCAATCCACACGTTAAGTGATCCATGATTTGGTTATCTGAATAAATGCAATTCACAAACGTTTTCAGACATTTACATGGAAACATTTCAGAAGCAAATGTTATTGGATGAATTACTTTTGTGTTGGAGATGTATATGATTATATTACATTTATTCAATGTTGCAGTTATTGCGAAATTGTTTACATTTGTTCAAGTTGATTGGTATTTGTGGATGGGATGAATGCATTTGTGAAAACTGTCATTTATTCACAAATCGTTTTATTAGTGGCAACATTAATTTCCCTCCATAAAAGTGGCCAAATATTAAATTTATAAGTAAAGTAATAAAGTGGGTAAAATATCTAAACTAACCAATAATTAGTGAAATTATTAAAACTCAACCCTATTATGAAATGTTATTTCATCATTCATTTTCATAATAAGTTTTACTAGATGTTTTTTGTTTCAAAATGCCCTTTTTCAAAAATCAGTTTTATTTCATATTGGTATTTTTATTAGTTTGTGTGCAGTGTGTTTATTTATAGCTGTAGCTAGCTGAAACAGAAGTACTTTGACGTTGTTGTTGCTTTAGCTAACTGCTAACTGGCTAGTCCTGGTAGCACTTGTTGAGCTAGCTTGCTTACCAGGCGGGCTGAAGTGTGCAAGTTATGAAATGAAAAGTGACACTGTGAAACGTGTCGTGAATTTAAAAGTTACATAACATAAAAAGTCATTGGGGAAAATGAAATAGTCTTGAAACAGACTTGAACATTTGAAATTTCTAAATGAAATTAAATAAAAAATGAAGTCCTGTGAAACTAATTGAGGAGTCTCACAGCCTGGGTGAACAGGCTACAGCTGGGTGGGTGCTGTCTTTTAGTATCTTTTGGGCTCTGTGGAGGCACCTCACCTCAAGAATATCACTGATGCTAAATTATAATTTCAAAAATTATGGCTTCATTTATAGATTTTACACATGTCTATTTATTTCATAGCTATTTTATGTATTTCTGTTATATTGACCTCTTCCATAGATAGCCAATGGCTACTCTGGTTCTATACAAAAATATGCCATACCTTTATGTGAGACAGAGATTTATTTTAAATTTATATTAATACAAAGATAACTGTCCCCAATGTCAACCACGTGTTGTGCAACCCTACAAAGAAAACACATGTCTATTTGCCAAGCCAGATGTATTCTCTGCAATAAAACTGTCAACTTTGATGTCAACCTATTAGGGATAATATCGCGTTCGAGACCGGTCGGAACTGGGATTTTTCCCAGTTGAAACTACAGACTTCCGACCTCAAAGCGTTTCAGGTTCATGGTGGTGCATGACGACAAAAGTGAACTAAAACCATGGCTGACGGTGATTAAGTGGACACACAGTTTCACCCTCAGCAGTGCTTGTGGGCTTCTATGGGAGCTGTTATTGTTTTGTGACGTCATTGAGCTGCTACTCGTTAAGTCCGGGTACAGATTTTCTCTCCCGAGTTCACAAGTTGGAAATCCGACTTCAGGTGGCGTTCCAGGGTAGTTTTTCTAGTTGGAGATCGGAAATGTCTGACTTCCAAGTTGCCTGGAACGCAGCAAAAGTTTCTATGTAAGTGCATGTTTCATTCAAGATCGACCATAGTGCTGAAAAGACGGAGACCTTGGTTGACTGAGCCTGAGAGCAATCTGTAGGAGGATGACTAATGGTTAAAACGTTTAAACAAAATCTGACAAATGATGCTGGGACAAAGGAATGTTTGGCAGTTGGAGGTCGTAAAAGAGGAGAACTAAAAAGAATGGAGAAGTCGAAGAAAACAGCGGGTAGGCACAACTATGTTGAGAATGGGCCAGAGTGGGGAGATTCTGACATAGTCGATAGTGATGGAAGCATGGAGATAAGTCAAGATGGTGAAAGAATGAGGGACAAAAGAGAAAATACTTTTACTGGGACCAGTAAAAAGAGGATCAGAAGTAATGAAGAGTATAGGAAAGGAATAAAGCAGAAAGGTCAAGAAGGGCTGGAGTTTAAAATCATACAGGGATTTGGTGAGGAGAGGGGAATTTCGTCAATGAGAGGGGAATTTCGTCAATGAGTCCGGTGAAATTGACAACTGTCTTGAGAAACCAGGTCGGGACACTGTAGTAGCCAAGGTGTTGAGAGATGGCAATTTAATGATTGGTTGTAAAAACGAAGAACAGAGAGAGCGGGCTGGAAGGATTAAAGAAATTGGGTGGTTCAAAGTAATAAGTACAAGCCCAATTGAAAGAGGAAGTAAGAGGAGTAAGGGAGTGATTTGGGGGGTGCCAGTCGGAGTCACCATGGAGGAAATCAAATCAAATCTAAAAGGAGGAAGTGAGGAAGGACAGTGAACATGTGGTACTGTAGTTTGAGGAGGAAATACTCCCAAGGAACGTAAAACTAGGTTTTTTGAGTTATAGCGTAAGAGAGTATGTACCGAAACCAATAAGGTGTTACAACTGTCAAAGGTTTGGACATGCAGCAAGTACATGTAAAGGCAGAAGAAGGTGTGCTAGATGTGGAGAAGATCATGAGTATGGTCACTGTAATCATGAGCAACCAAAATGTCGGGGAAATCATAGTGTGGCTTATGGGGGATGTGAGGTGATGAAAAGGGAAATGGAAGTACAGCAGGTAAAAATTCAGAATAAGATCACATATGCAGAGGCAGTGAAGATGGTCAGTAAGAGGGGGGTTGGAGTGATGAAAGAAACAGAGGTAAAAGACAACCCATTACAGAACCAGACCAGGCAAATGAGGGAATATTAATGGTAGATTTAAAGAAGCTAGTCACTTTCATAGCAGAGGTGTTAAATGCTACAATGGAGGTTAAATCCAAAACAGAGAGAATACAGATAATCGTAAAGGCAGCAGCTCATCACCTAGATATCAACGGGTTGACAAGTGAGTGTAGGGGGGAAAGAGCAAGAATATGTTACTGTAGAGATATGGAGAAGTGAGGGAGAGTTTGTAATTATAAACTATTATAATCCTTGTAGAAAATTAGAGTTGGCGGCGGCTAACGCAAATGGTGGGGCTGGATGGTAGTAGGGTGGTGCACCCAGCACGTTATGGGGAGGAGTAAGAACAGATGCAAATGGTGAGGTAATAGAAGAACTGCTAGAAGAGAGGAACATGGTTTGCTTAAATGATGGGAGAGGGACTAGAGTAGATGTGCACACAGGGAACACGTCCGTATTAGATTTAACTTAACTAGTTTCGAGGAATTTAGCGGGAATGTGTGAGTGGGACGATCAGAAGAAACATCAGTAGGTAGTGATCATTTTCCAGTATGGTGTAGTGTTTTTTTACAAAAAAATAAGAAGCAAGGGGAATTGGTGGGGAAGTGGGTATTTAGCAGTGCAAAATGGGAAAGGTTTAAATATACATGTGAGATAGAAATGCATAAAATAGATCTAAATGAGGAAATAGAGGAGATTGATAAAAAAAGTTTAAAACAACAATACTACAAGCTGCCAAAGAATCAATTTCTAAAAGTAAAGGGAAAATGAAGAGAAAGGCAGTTCCCTGGTGGACAGATGAGTGTGGGAAAGTAGTGAAAGAAAGGAATAAAGCCTTCAGGTTACTAAGAAGAACCCATCATTTTCATAATTTAATTAAATATAAAGACACACAAGCAAAGGTTAGGAAAAAAAAGCTGGCAGGCTTTTTGTAATAAAATTGATAGAGCAACACCTGTCAGAGATGTGTGGAACATGATTAAGAACATGCGAGGAATCAGAAGGGAATGGCAGTATTCAGTACTGAAGATGGGGGAGGAAGCAGCAGAGTCCGATGAAGAGAAAGCAGAGATGATAGCAAAGGCGCTTACTCTTATCCATAGTTCCGATAACTTGACGGAGGAAGGGCAATGACAAGATCAGCGCATGGTGACTTACTTGAAAGTAGGGTTGATACTAACAGTACAATGGATGCTCCAATTACTATGGAAGAAGTGAGGAGGGCAATAGCAAGATCTGGACTAACATCTCCGGGGAAGGATGACATTTGCTATGTAATGTCAGAACATTTAAGTGTCTTAGCATCTACTACGTTGCTAGGTTTTTATAATAAAGTATGGGAATTAGGGAAATTGCCAGCTGGGTGGAAAGAAACAGTAATTATTCCTATCAGGAAACCAGGGAAGGATTCGTCAAGTCCAATGAACTATAGGCCAATAGCACTTACGTCACATGTAGGAAAAATAATGGAAAGAATCATTACAGAAAGATTTTACATGGACAGCAGAGGAATTTTATCACTGCAGTCATTTACATCTCACAGCAGGCAAGACATGGTTAATGAGATCTATGAAACGTTGTACAGAA